CCACTGGTGTCACGTCTTAGAATTTGTATATTCTGACCACAGCGATTTTCCGCCCAGGCCTTGTACTCACAAAAGGGGTCAATCACCTCCAACTCCTGTTTCAGAGTGTAAACTGTTATGAAATAGGAATAATCGTCGATGAGTAGGAGGAAGTATTTCGCACCACTCTGGGAGGGAGTTCTCACCAGCCCGGTGAGCTCTCTGTGGACTAGCTGTAGAGGGTGGGTCATTGTACTAGTGCCTGGAGAATGGTTTGGCTTTCTGATTTGTTTTGCGGTAATGCAGCTAATACATACAGGGCTAGTGCGGCTCCCATAGATGTTGAGTTCTGGGTTTGCTGATATGAGGTACCCGACATTATCACAACTGATGTCACCTAATCATCTATGTTATTCCAGGAGGGAGGTGCTCAGCAATCTTGTGGGAGCTTGTACTTTCTGAGCTTCAATTCATATAGTTTGCAGAATGTATACATGGTTTTCAAGTCTTGCAAGACCTAACACTCTCTGTCCATGTATAATGCTAACCATCTCCTGGGTAGGAACTCCAAAACTCACTATCCTACCTGCTGCATAAAAGCGGCGGACAGAGATAAGACTGGTTCTTTCTATCTCAGGTACGTGAAGTACTTTCCTTAACTGGACCTGATTTACAGCTCTGTAAACATTTAAATCCAGAGTGATTTCGCCTTCTCCCTCTGCAGTCATTACGGATCCATTTGCGATATGGATGGGTGCAGAGGATTTCATCAAGCTTTTAAATAGGCTTCGGTCTAAAGTCATATGGTGCGTTGCACCCAAATCCAAAACCCATTTCGATTGTACTCATTTTGCTGACTTTTGGTCCATAGCTGTCCATGCCTGAACTGATAGTTCAGCTGATGCGGCATTTGTGATAGGCTCCTGGTACCTATTTGTTTTTCCATGGTTTTTCTGTTGGTCTTGTTGTTTCTTTAGGCACTGGTTTGCCCAATGTCCCTTCTCTTTACAAATATAGACAACTCTCTTTGTCTACTGATTGATTGATAGTCCGTGACTTCTATCGCCCTTTCCTTTTCTCACTTTCCTTCTGTCCACCTCCTCCAGCATACAAGGCATTGGTCTCGAGTAATTCTGGTTGATAACCATTTATCCATAGATGCTCAAGTACTAACCAGTCACCGAGAGTATTGTAGGTCATATGGTCATAGTCCGCATTGTTACAGATCGAGGTCCGGAATGGGTGGTACTGTAATGGGAAGTTGGACAACAATAAGTACTTCATATCTTTCTCGTCTTGAACTTCTCCTGTGGCACCGAGCTGATAGAACAACTTCTCCAAAGTTGCAATATAGTCAACAAGGTTGTTACTTCGGAATTTGACCTTCAAAAGCTCTCCTCGCAGGAGCCATATTCTCACTTGCTCCTTTCCGGCATATCATTTTTCTAATTTCACCCAAAGCAGGGCTGGATCCTGTTCTTCTGCATAGAGTTCTCAATGGGAACTATCCAAAAGCCAACCCAGTATCTTACAGGATTTACTAGCTTTCTTGTCTGAACTCGTAGCTTGGTTGTGATCCGACCAATGCAGCTTTTCTGAAACAATTGGCCAGTGGGCCTTTTCCACTACGATATCAATGACTGCAAGGTGCCATTCTCGATAGTCGGCTGCTTTCAGTAAAGGTTTGATGCCTAATGAGGCCAATATATTGACTTCCTGTCCAGTACTCTTTGACATATTGGTAGAGGATATGTGGGTGATATGGGGAATCTTAAGTGTATAGATCTTCAAGTATGTGTGGTATTAAGCCGAGCTCATAACCTCTTACATGGAAGCAATCTAGGACGTGAAGAACACGTGGAAGATGGCTCTTGTGATATATGGCATGAGGATTATAAAGAGTATGAGGATTTATATTGCTAGTATCATAAAGAGAGTAGTATAGATAACGAGAAGAAGATGAAAGGAGAGTCATTTTTTTGCAAGGAAATAATAGCGAACAAAACAGAACTTATGAAGACAATACCATAAGTTCTAGATCCTCCATGATCAATACATGCTTCATCCTTTCAAACAAACTAGCAGGGAAAACTCTTCACCAAACAGACAAAGAAGAAAAACTCTTCACCTCGCCAACAATACCGAACAGATGAATCCTCCTCCATTTCAGGACTTTCTGCCACACTCTCCTGAGACACCATGATAACCTTAGTACCTGCACTAATGTTTCAGGCTGAAGCATGCCACACAGTATCAGACTCGGATACATGTAACGTGTTCACGCCAGGGCGCTAATCACGCTGTCGGGTACAATAGGAGAGAGGTGACGTCTACCGGAGACTGTGAACTCAAGGCTCGCTAAGGGAGGCTTTGGTGGTGTAATAGGAGAATAAAAATAACCATTCAACTGAGTATATTAAAGTACTGTCTGTCGAAGTCTGCTGTTTCCAGAGTGGAAGACGGCGGTCTTTTTAAGTACATGTGTTTGAGTACGATCATGAATTCTCACTCATGTTCTTACTCAATCAAAGCATAAAAATAACCAAGTATCAACCGATACTTAAAACAAAACATAAAACAAGCTAAGTATCAACTGATACTTAAAACAAAACATAAAACAACCTAAGTATCAACTGATACTTAAAACAAAACATAAAACAAACTAAATTAACCGAGTACCAGCTCTGGTTACAATACATCCAACAGTTTGGTTTAGGATCGTTCTAAATTGCAGGAGGTTGCGGAGGATCATGATGAGTTAGGATAGTGTGTTTTTTCATTTGAGTTCATTGTGTTTCCATGGTTGTTGGTGCTTTGAGCTATATATCTCTTATTCAGTCATTAGCTAGATGGATTATCGATCACCGTTTCCACCACTTCTATCTTCTCATTTTTCATCTCTCATCCGTGCTTATTTTTTCACTTCACCGCTGTGCACTTTTGAGTTGTTTCTTCATCACCAACACAAACAACAAAATCAGACCAACAATGGACGGCTTTGGTGTAACCCCCGCCAACGCGCTAGTTCAAAGCCCATGTTGGGCGTCTCAGCTCCGCAAATACAGTCTAACCCTCCCACTCATCAAATGCCACGGGCATGTTGTGCTCAACATGTGCCATCGAACGCTGGACTGTTCCTAAGAACCTTGGAAAACTGGAGTACAGAGACGTGAGGAAGAGCAGATGGAGTGATCTCTGAGCGCCTGGAGCGAAATCTCACCAAGGGGAACATAAAGATTGACGATGGCAACAAGAAACTTAAGTCAAAGTTGGTTGCTATCAAGGGCCCTTATGGCGATGGGGTGAGAGCTATTATCAAGGATAAGATCCGCTCCTTCCTGAAGGCATGGAAGAAGCAGATGAGGGAGGTGAAGAAGGTCGCAAGGCTTCAGAGGAAGCAAGAGGGTAGGGAGAGGCATGCCGAAATGGTTAGTTAGCACAAGGAGGCGCAGGAGGCGAAGAAGGTCCCAAGGCCTCAGAGGGAGTCGGAGGTTAGTCAGGGGCATGCCGAGGTGGTTAGCCAGCACAAGGAGGCAAAGAAAGTCGCAAGGCTTCAGAAGAAGCTGGAGGTGAGAGAGACATGCCGAAATTCTTAGCCGGTACAAGGAGGAGAAGGAAAGGAAGCTACAGGAGAAGGCAATGGCGAAGAAGGAGGCCAGGGAGATGCACGCCAAGAGAGTTCAGATGCATAGAGAGGTGAAGGGAAGGGAACAGCCGGAAATTCAAATGGCGAAGACAGAGTAGGAGGCGACAAAGGGGGGGGTGTAATTGTAGTTTCGCGCTCGTAATGTAATAATATTTTCATATCCTGAACGTAGACCACCGGTGGGTGGGGTGTATCTATATATGAGGCTTTCCAATTTTTGTAAATTATTTATCTGGCTCTGAAAAGGTTATTATCCATGGTAGCCAATGATGGCGGTTCATGGGTCTGTGGGGTGTCATTCAAAAAGGTTTAGTGACTGTTGATGAAAAGGTACCACCACCACAATCTCTTCCACCACCCGTCCAGCAGTTGTGATGACTGGAGAGGACGTATGTATCCATGTTTTTGTACACTTATGTGCGGGAAAGTTCTAGCGAGGGTGGGGACTGGCTGGAGATGAGTATCTTTAGCATTTTTCTTTTACTAGAAAGTAGGGGGTGTCAGCGTGGCTTTCGCTATCTATTGTAATATTATTTGTTAGGTTTCCATATGTACCTTTCTACCTTCCACCAACACTTGACCTAACTGGTGCGGTAGACCACTATCCGTCACAGGAAGTGGAGGGGGTTGAAAAAAAACAAAGAGCAAGGTATTTGTCTATCGAGTGATGTTTTGTGGTCTAGCAGAATAATAATATATTGTAGTTTATCAACCAAAGAGGAGGGGTGAATGGTTCGTACAGGGCATCCAAATTCTTATCCATCACTGTGTAAACGCAGTAGCTTCTAGGGAGCAACGGTCTCTCAGTTGGCTTCACATTTGGTGTTACAGATGTTTCGCTAGCTGTGAGAAATGGGCAGGCAAGTCTTTTCTCCTCTGATTCACAGTCAGATGGAAAATCGTCACCATGCTGTGGCTCTTTACTTACTTCTTTTCTCATCAGCTGAGTATAGGAGTTGGAAGACTCCCGAGATACTGGCATATCATCATTGTTGAGTGGACCTTTTAGCTAGATGAGCTAAGGTACTTTCCGAGTGGTCTTGCAAGGTGTGCTAACAAGGGGTGATGGTTAATTGGTGTCTCTTAAGTATGATATTGTACTATTCATGCAGCCATGTCATTAAGTCTCTACATAGTTGTTCACAGTAGTCTTAAGGATCCTTGTGCTATGATGCACCGCTTTCTTTCTGTCTGGGGAAAAAAAGGCCCTGAATGTTTATCTTTTGTACAAGGGAGAAGAAAAAAGACATGAGGGGCAAGAGCCCATGACCGGGGAAAAAAATTAAATAATGTGATGAAAAAAGAATTAAAAAAAAAGAGCAGAGAAAAAGGCATGACTACCACTATTTAGCTATATTACAGATATTGTCCACTATGTGGAGCTAGTGGTGAGGGAGGATTGAAAATCAGGGTCCAGCACATTCGCTCTTCCTTCATGAGCTTCGAGCACCTTACTATACTGTTCTACTGCCAACTGTCTGATATAAGTTCCTAGTTGGCTGTGTAAGAGACCCCAGTCAAATCCAACATGATGGTCCTCTTCAAAGAAGCCGTCCAAGAAATCGCAGAGGAAAAAGTATATATAGATTGTATTGTCTCCATTTAAGTAGTTCTATGCAAGTTAGCTACTAGTATATCAGAAACATCATCTTTACCAGTCTTGAGCAGTCACTTACATGGGGGCCTAACCTGGAAATTATCAAGTGAGAGGTAGGATGACGTTTCCAGATTTCAATCAAATGGTTATTTTGCCTATCCAACATAGACCTCTATAACGAGCAGGTCCATGGGCCTTATCAAGAGAGAAATATTCTTGGGAAACTTCTTCAGATGGAGGAAATTCTACTAGTAGGTTGTCAAACTCCTTATTGGTAAGTCATAAGGTGGGGTTTTGGTAAGCAGGATCCTTATTTATTTTTACTAAGATCACTGTGGACACAGTATCTGTTTCCTCCAACCACATTCTGGCATCCCGAACCAGATTGTCCTACATCTTAGCATGGCTAACTTCCAATATGTACTTTACCTCTAGAGTCCCTGCTGCATTTTTCCTCTGAACCATAGTATCGGATGCTTTTTGGAACCCTTTGTAACCACATTTAAAAGAGTGGAAATTTTCATTGCAAGTATATAGTGATTCTCTGACAAAGTGGTATGGGGAGGCTACTTCTTGCTAGATTGAACTCTTCCAAGACGGTGCTGATAACCTTTTCACGAATCAGGCTTAGCATATGTTGGATAATAAGTATGGAGGTTAATACATTAAACCAAATTTTCAGAAACCTGATACTACTTAGTAATTGACTTTAAAGTAGAGTCAAGAAGGGGTCCTACTTTTCGTCATTGCCTACATGTAAGGTCTCACTGAATCTGATAAAATCAGATCTACATGTTTGTGTTCTTAGCTCCAATCCCTCCTCACTCCCTGGAGAGCCAAAACCCTTACTCCCTAACCACCAGTTTCGAAATTTCCATACCTATTCATTAACGGATACCGATTCAGGATCTCTGGTAGATGCGGTTGGCTCAACAGCCCTGGAAGCATCATTGGTAATACGGTTTGTCATGTGCTAATAAGATGCTGAAGTCTCAATAGTATGCATATGAGGAAAATTGGGTGGGACTGGTAACCATATAGGGGCTGGTCTAGGTGTGCAGCTCGGCAGCATGAAATAAACATTTGGCAGTACCTGGGGGTATCCAGGTGCACTGTAGCTCCTAAGCCCACCATAGCTCCTGGGTTCATCCAGTCAGTATTCCATTTTACCAAAAATTACCTGTATAAATCACGTTAGGTGAAAAATCTTGAATGCAATGTAACGTGCTATTTAATTGAACTGGAGGTGGAGCTAAATAAAATGTGGCTCAATAGGCAACTGAGAGTAAACCTCGATAGAAAATTCTTTCCCTTCCAAGAGTAAAAGATGTAGTAGAAACACTACTATAATCAGAATAATAGGAGTGTGGCTGATAGATATATCCGTCATGTGGATATTTTCAGTGAGGCTTCCTCACCACAGCTACCTTATCAGGCCCAAGTGATGGATGTATCTATCGGCCATACTTATAGTCAGAGTCAAAAGAATAGGAAGAGACAAGGTTGGGAAAAACAAACTCTCTTACCAATATCAATGGTGGTAGTCCAAACTGGAGTCTCTGAGCTTTTGGCAGTAGATGGTGTAGTTGTAGAAGATGGGTAGACAAGGAAGATTTAAGTAGACTGGGTGAGCCCTCAGCAAGGCGCGGCATGGCTTGGCTACCTACTCCGGTTGACTGTGGGGATCCTTTGCTACTAAATATTGCTGCGCCTCCTTAAGGGTATTGCCTCACTGAGGCCTTACCTGGTCTACTTGTCGCAAGTTTTTTTGTTTGCCATACCAGCAGTGTTGATTATGTCAGCAGATAGAATCGTCAATATCATACCTTTTTTACCAAGATGATACACTTACCATGGAATTCCGGAAATAAGGTGCATCCTAAAATAAGGCGCACCTGGTAACAGCTAGTAGTATATGATATGGTAGACTATGCAAATCATTTCCCTCATCATAATACTGGTAAAAACACCTCCATATATATTATAAATACTGTGATAATATAGGCAGGGGGTCAATGAACAGAGGGGTTCAGTGAATAGACCAAACAAAACCACCATTCACTGAGACCATTTTAGTATATTGTTTACTGAATTCCCCTACTTGTTGAGCCCCCAGCCATTCTACAAGGGTATCAAGCCCTGATGAACCCTAAGATTTACTAGTCTCCTCTGAGTTCCTACTAGCGACTTTGCAATTTTGTATCAAATATTAAATCCTAGCAATCTCATCATCCTGGAACCCTGTTTGACCCACATCCAGAGTCTTTTCACAAAGTCTCTAGTTAGCCAAAATTAGACTTCAATATCCATATACTCAATAGATAGTTTGGGCTCCAAAACCTATACCAAAATCTCATCTCCAGCACCTTCCATAACTTCCTTTTCTCCTGCTAATATACCCTTTTCATTCAGGATTTCCAATAGCTTTCCCCAATTATCCTCCAGTAAAACCCCTTTTCTGCTTTTCCGCTTTCCCCTTTTTCCAGTCTCGCGGTTGCAGTTAAGTTCAAACTCTCCAGTATAATTGATTATAAGGTTAGCTAAATCTCGAATTCTAACCAACTGATCTTCAGAGCCATCAGGCTACAAGGAAATTCCCGTATCAGGAAAGGATTTCTGAATGAGATCTCAATGTTGTCTGTGTAACTTGTCCCATACATCTACTATGCATTTTGAGATCAATATTTGTCGCTCGCAGACCTTTTCTCCTGACTGCCCACCTTCCGGACATGGGCTCTTCCATCCCTGCTCAATATACTCTGCCAGAAAGTCACTAATGTATTGCTTCAGTGGCTTGTTAATATGTATATCTTCTGCTTGTAGATAGCCTTTTATTCCTGCTGGAATGAAAGCAGTTATTGTAATAAGGCAAGGAGAGGAGAGAGCTAAAAGTACATGTAGTATGCAATGAGTTGGACATGTGTCAAGTGTTAGAAGACATGGGGGAGGAAGCAAATAATTTGTACTGTAAGAGGACCAACTAGCAGCATGGGTAGACTCAAATATAGGAGCATGGGTAGAGGTAGGAGCACAGGCAGAGGTGGATTCAGAGTCTCATATGAAATGAACAGCAGCTGAGTAGTATTTATGAATTCAGTAAAGCATAACTGTGGTATTGGTATAGGCCTTCTTAGTAAAAATGACTGAAACCCAGTCATGATAAAATTGGTATTCCTTCTGAATTGACCTTTCTTTTCCCTCTCCAGAAAACATTAATAGTAGTTTGCAGTACGGTAGTCCATCACCCACAATGAAAATTAGGAGACAAGCTTGTCACTTAGTCCATGATTTATTAGTAACCTTTTTCCTAATTGAGGTACAATCTTTAGGTGTGTGGGTGCGCTTTTGATAAAAGTCAAAGGGTAAAGCCACCAGATCAACATTAAAGATTCTGGAAAGTTGATATCACCGAATAGCGAATAACTATTCACCAGCCTCAGGTATTTTATTATAATGAATAAAGCCTGAGAACTAGGCGGCAATTTCTCTATACGTATTTGGTGTCTGCTATGACTGAGAGGTAGGAGCGTGGGATGATATTTTTTCTTGTCGCTCTTTGAAGCTACAAAACCAACTATTTAAAAGTTGACATCTATAAATCTTCTTCCTATTTACTACTATAACATTATCTATGTACTCTTCTTCTGTCACGGCCACCCGGCCATGGAGACGGAATATGCACGGGCTTTTGTTGCCTATATTGGTAGTGGTTTCCTTGGTTGCATAGTTGGATTTCTTTGGTACATGTGATTAGAGTGCGCTGCCGTGCGACGGAACGTAGCGGAAACTGATAGAAGGATCGCGGCTGCGCATGACGCCAAGGACTTTCCTTTACATTAGTTATCATGTAGGATTTCTTTGCTATATAAAGGGGTGTGCCCCCTTATATTTTACATTCTTT